CAGGGCCGGGTGCAGTGACTCGCTCCTGTAATTCCAGCACTTTGGCAGGCTGAGGAACATAGATTGCCTGCGGTCGGGAGTTCAAGACCAGCCTGACCAACATGGAGAAACCATGTCTCTACTGAAAATACAAAATTAGCCGGGCATGGTGGTACATGCCTGTAATCCCAGCTACTCAGGAGGCTGAGGCAAGAGACTAGCTTGAACCTGGGAGGTCAAGGTTGCAGTGAGCCAAGATCATGCCATTGCACTCCAGCCTGGGCAACAAGAGCGAAACTCCATCTCAAAAAAAAAAAAAAAAAAAAAAGAAAAAGAAAAAGAAAAGAAAAGAAAAGAACGAACGAACCCTGCCAATCAAAATGTCGCAAGGCAGAGGGAGGCTGGAGCCCAGTGTGGCGTGCACATAGAAAGTATGGTTACCCGTACAATTTAATGCCATGAAATGCTGTTCTGGGCCAGGTGATCCCTCCGGAAGGGGAATGCAGGGGGGTGCAGGGTACAGGGGTGACCTCGGCAGGCTGAGGACTCGGGGCTGGGCCTCCACTTCCTCACTGATCTTGTTCAGGTGAGAAAATGGGACTAGAAGGGCTTTGTAAAAGGTAACATCACAGGTAAATGTGAGCCGTGGGCCACTTGGAGTCCTTTACCCAGAGACACAAGATCCACTATGAAACATCACTTGCTGGCACTCCCACAGGGCTACTGTCAGGGACACCTGTGAGTAAGACACTCAGCCTGACCTCAGGGAGCACAAAGCCCAGTGGGGAATGGTTGAAACAATGGATTAAATGCCACGTGGCGGTGTGCCTGGGAGCTGGGGTCCCAGCCAGGAGGAAGGCTGCCCAAGAGAGGCCTTGGAAAGCCATGGTGATGTCCCTGTGGGGTTCTGAAGGATGACAAGGGAGCTGCCAGTACCTGAAGGGTGAGGAAGGGGTGTTCTAGAACATACAGCACTGGCAAAGGCATGGGGGGTTGAAACGCAGTGTCACTGTTCCAGATTCCCAATCCAGAAACCACCTCCGAGCACCTTGTTCCCTCAAACACCTGGGGCTGAAGCCATACCTGATGTGAGGTGAGGATGGCTGCAGCACCCTTCGAGGATCTGTGGGTGCGTGGAATGGGCCTGCACCACTAGCCGTGGGTCCTGGGCTCTCGGGAATCATCCAGAGGACCCTCCTCTCTGCCCTTCTAGGATCTGAGGACCTAAAGGCTTATGATATATCCTTTCCCAAACTTGAAAGAAATTTAGAACTCACCTGACTTTTCTTTTCTTTTTTTTTTTTTTTTTTTTTTTGAGACAGTCTCACTCTTTCACCAGGCTGGAGTGCAGTGGCATGATCTTGGCTCACTGCAACCTCCATCTCCTGGGTTCAAATGATTCTCCTGCCTCAGCCTCCTGAGTAGCTGGGACTACAAGCATGTACCATGTCTGGCTAATTTTTGTTTGTTTTGTTTTTTTGAGACAGGGTCTCACTCTGTTGTTCAGGTTGGAGTACAGTGGCGCAATCTTGGCTCACCGCAACCTCCGCCTCCTGGGTTCAAGTGATTCTCCTGTCTTAGCCTCCTAAGTAGCTGGGATTACAGGTACGTGCCACCACACCCAGCTAATTTTTGTATTTTTAGTAGAGACGGGGTTTCACCATGCTGGCCATGCTGGTCTTGAACTCCTGGCCTCAAGTGATCTGCCCACCTCAGTCTCCCAAAATGTTGGGATTACAGGTGTGAGCCACCACACCCAACCACCCTGACTTTTCTCCTGAAACTGGAACAACCCCAGATTCTTTGTGGTCTTGGAGAAAAGTGAAGATAGAGCAGCCAGCCTATCCCTGTAGGAAGAGAGCTGCCTGCCCCAGTGTGCCCTGAAGGACAAAGGACACCCTCCATGTGGGCTTTGTCTGGTCAGCCGTCCCTCATTTTAGGCTCTACTTCTATGATCTGGCTCAATCAGAGCCCACAAGGTGGAAAACACACAGCATTTCACCAGGAGGAGGGTCTGCCCTGTCCGAGGAGCCAGTGGCAGTAGAGATTTTCCTAATGCAGGCATGGGCGCTGCTGGGAGCATCCCTGCACACATCACAGTCAGGGCAGCGCTGGGGAGAGGGATGGAGTTGCAGTGGGGTCCCCACAGTGGGAGCAGCAGCTCCCTCTCACTGTGAGATTGGGAGAGATTGGGGGTGATGATTTCTACCTTGTGGGGACCGCGGTGTGTGGCTTCCATATCCAAGTCCCTGGCTTCCCAGGAGGGGCCCTGGTGGGGCTGCAGAATTTGAAGCTGAAAGGTAAGACACTCCAGGGACTTACCTGGAGGTAAGTTGGGATCCTGCCCAGGGTGAAGGTGAGGCTGCCCCGTGTCCTGGCCTTGGCATGTAACCACCGCAGGAGGGGGCCTCTGCAACTCTCCAAGGAGGTCACCCTTACCTCCCTGAGAGAACGAGAGGATGAAGGCCATCACTTTTCTTGCAGGCCACACAGACCTGGGTTTGCATCTTGGCATGGCCACCTACCAGCTGGGTTATGCTGAGCAGCTCAGGTGACTTCCCTGAGCCTCAGTTTCCACGCTGACACTAACAATCCCTCACGGGTGCTAACCAGGCTGTTGGAAGGAGTAAGTGGTTTGGTACCTGAAGAGGCTCCCTGGAAGTTTGGAGGTGGGAGCAGCATGGATGTCCTAGTTACAGAGCCCTGGTCCAACACCTTCTCCTAACAGGTGTCGAAGCCACAGCCTGGCCAGGGGTGGGAATGCATGTGTCCCATGACCTTCAGGCAAGTGGCTGGCTTTGCCTACATGGCTCCTTTGCACACAGTGGGGGCTGAACCCTTGATGTCTGAGAGCTCTGTAAACAGCCTTTCCAGAACTGCCCCAGTTCCTGCTAAGCGAGGAGTGGCTGTCAGGAAGGGTCCCCAGGGGAAACATGAGCCTCTGGGCTAGCCTGGGCTACAGGCACCGTTTGTCAGGGCAGCACCGCACTCCTGCCCTCCCTGCCCCTGATTTCACAGCAGGAGCTTGGGGAGGGGCCCTCATGGCAGGCTAACACCAGCAGGTTTGGCAGAACCCAGCCCAGGGCACAGCTTCCGTCACTCAGGGCTGACTCTGCCGCCACGTTCCCCGGATGCTGGAGCTGCAGAAAGGAATCGTGACCAACCCCAGGGGGTTGTGCTTCTCATAAAACAATTCATTAGGCACTTAGACTTGGAGCTGTTTTGATGGCTTCGTAAACACAGATGAGCCTCTCGTGTCTGATAAAAGACTATGCAAGACGGCAGCCAGCTGAGACACTCATTATCTCGGAAAAGCCAAAACTGCTTACTCAAGACAAAGCAGTTTTGGTCTCTGGTAGGGAGGCAGTGCCTGGGAAGCCTCCAGCGGTGGCTTCTAGGAGGGACAGGGAAATACAAACGCATTATTATGTCATTCAGTGCTTCCCATGTGTGTGTGTCCCTGGTAGAAGTACAGCATAATCTGGTCTGTGGGCTGTAAGGAGGACACTGGGCCTGAGAGGGTGGACGTAGGAAAACAGTGCAGGTGACAATGGGGCCAACATGCAGGGTGGCCCAGCAGCCTCTCACCATCCTTGGCACATGGGGCCAACTACACCCAACCCCCCAGCACTGTGGGATCTGGGATGGAGAAGGCACACACATCTGCTGAGCTGAGGTAGGTGGGCACCTGCACGCTGAGTTTCCCAGCAGCCGGGAAGGTGGGCACACCTCGCCCAGCCTCAGGCCCCAGGGTGGGATTCCCAAGGCTGCATTTGGGTACTCCAAGCCTGAGCATATCTGGGCAGATGTGGGTGGTGGGGTGGCCCTCCCACCCCACAATCATGCTGCCAACAGGCCAGTGAAGCAGGCTTGGGGCAGGTCTTGGATGCCCAGGGTTTAGCCTGGGCTCTTGGCCTGCAGTGAGCCCTAGCCTCTATCTTCCCACCCTGCCCTTGCATTTCTTGTGGGGCCTGGAGCTTGGTCCCAGCTCCCAGTCCGGCCTTGGTCTAACCTCCTAGTTTGGGGGCTGGGTCCCCCAGCTAGAGCTCACCCAGGCACAAGCACTGCCCACTGTCCCCAGCCAGCAAGATGGCTCTCCTGAACCCCCTTCTCTGGACCTCACTTCTTCCTCTGTAGCGGCCTCCATTTCTGCACAGCTCCTCTGCTCTGGTCTCCTTACTCCCACAGCAGGCCACCCCAAGCTCCTAGAACTGCACCCCTGGCCTAGATGTACCGCCCTGTGGGACTGTCCTGGGAGCAGGCTGTCGCAGTCAGACTTGTGTCTGGAGGGTGGAGGCCTGGAGGAGCATGCACACTTCTGGGGAACACTCCCCAGACAGAAAGAGGGAAGCAGGGCCAAGCACTATCCTCCTGCCACCATCGAGACACCCTCGTGGCTCCCAGTCATAGCCATGTGGCTTCCAGACCGGGGTGAGCGGCTGACTCCCACGGCGGGGCTGCTTAGTTTACAACTGCGGTTACCCACTTCGTCTACCATCAGGTTGGCATGACCTTGGCAGGCTCAGCTCTGAGGCTCTTCTAGCTCAGGGAGCCCTCGACCACAGCCCCCACCACACACCCTCCCCTTGTTGTGCACAGCGTCTGCTCTCACTGCATCTGGGGAGTGAACCCAGGGAGGAGGAGTAGCAGCCACTGAAGGCCAGTGTGGCAGCTGTGTCCCTACTGTGTGGGCAGAACTGACCCGCTGGGCTAGCTACTCAACTTGGGGCCCCGACCTTCCTGATCGAGGCATGAAGTAACTGCAGACTGTACCAGAGTCCACACCCAACTCCAGTTTCCTCCAGACAGTGAAGAAGAATGTCCTTGCCCAACAACGGCCGACTGAAGGAGATGATTTGAGAACCCGGAAGCTAGCTGGGGGGTGCTGGCTTTGGGAAACACCGTGGAACCGCAGGAAATGGAATGCTGACCCTTCAAGCACCCCTGGTCACCTGCTCAGGGACCCCGGGGCTGGAGCCAGGGAGCCCTGTGCCAGGGCGGTGGTGGGGGTGGGTACTCACGTTGATCATAGCATTGGATGTGATACGGAAGAGGGTGGCCCGCTCGTTCACCACCTTCAGCTTCTCCCCACTCTCGGATGGGATCTTGAGGCCGTCCAGCTCTGTCAGGGAGCGCTGGAGCGCGGCGCCGTGCTTGGCGATGAGGTCATTGCACGTGCTGAGGTCATCTAACTTCAGGGAAAGATTCTTCAGGGTGTGGTGCAGCTCGTTCTTGTCAGCTGGAGTGGTAGCCTCGTCGTCATCCCCAGAGTCATCTGTGGAAGAAAATAGAGTTGTTACGGTCATTATGAACAGACGTGGTACCAAGAGGTCTGCACAGCCAGGTCAAGCAGGGCAGGGTGGATAGCGCCATTCAAAAAACATCACTCCCCAAGATGGTGCCCATTCCTGTTCCTGGCCAGGGTGAGGTGCCTGGCCCAGCTTTCCCAGGGTGGGGTGAGCAAGGGCCCACCTGAGTCAGTGGGAAGGACTGTAAAGAGAGCCCAGCTTGAATGGCAGGGCCAGGACTGGGCTTTGGAGGCCGCAGGACTGCAGGCACCCACCTGCGTGCAGGGCACCAGCTCCCTATGTTGTGGTGTGCAGGGAAGGATGGGCTATGCTGGGTGGCGAGGTAGAGACTGCTCTGTGGGCACAGAGGCCTCTAGAATGGAGCCCGAGCTCCCTTCTCGGCGTCGCAGGCCTACCCCAAGCCAATCACTCCCACCCAATCAATCTCACTTTGCTCTCTGATCATGCCCATCCCCCAGCCACACCAGTCTGTCCCGTTCCCTGCAAAGGCTTGAGCGCTCTTGTTTGGGGCCTTTCCCACCATGTCCCCACTGCCTGGAACCTTCTCATACCTGCCCCCACCAGAGGTCCCACCCCACCCACCCCTTTGAGGGCCAGCCCAATGCCACCTTCTGTCTAAACTCTGCCAAAAGAACCTGGGAAACATGACAAAACCTGTCTTCTACAAAAAACAGAAAAATTAGCCAGGCATAGTGGCATATGCTGGTGGTCCCAGCTACCCAGGAGGCTCAGGTGGGAGGATCACCTGAGCCCAGGAAGGTGAAGGCTACAGTGAGCCATGATCGTGCCACTGCACTACAGCCTGTGTAACAGAATGAGACCTTGTTTCAAAAAACAAAACAAAACAAAACAAAACCCAAAACACAACAACAAACAAAAACAAAGTCTACCAAAAGACCCCATGTCACAGTTGAGGCTCCCCTGTCCCTGCCTTCACCGATCTCCCTGCAGGAACACAGCCATTCTCACTGATGGATTGCCTTCTGTGTGCAGACATGCTGTGGCCTCTCAATGGCCTTGCAGGGTAGGGACCAGATCATCCCCAGGCGACAGATGAGGAAACTGAGGCTCTGAGAAGTGAAGTCATGCCCACGCTGCCTGGCTGGCCACCCTCTTCCTTTTGGGCTGCTGGGGCCTCCATGAGAGGAACAGGCTGTGCCCTCTGCCAGCTCCCATGCCCCCTCTTACCTCTCTCTCACGCAGCTGCCCAGGGCCCTTTGACCTCCCTTTCCTGCCACCCAGTCTGCATGCAAGGGCATGGCGCTGTGGGTGTCTCTGTGGGGTGGCGCATCACAGTAGGTGGGGCAGGAGGCAGCTGGCCTAGGGCCACAGGACACCAAGAGGCTCACACCACCCCATGAGTCCCAGAGCCTGTAACTGCCAAGGGGTTTCTGAAATGCCTTGTTTAGAAATAACCAGCAAAAAACTTTTTTTAGATGAAGAAAATCTGTAACCCAAGATTTAAGATATTTTTCAAAAAGAATGCGTATTGTGAGAGAATGTTTCTTCCCACAGCAGGCAAGGTACACGGAGGTGGACATGGCTGAGTCACACATGGTGTCCATGGCAAGGTCAGGCCAGCCAGCTGTATGGGGCCTGAGCCGAGGGGAGCTGAGGAGGGTGCCCACGGCATACCCTGTCCCCCTCTGGCCACAGGGGCCTTGGGCCAGCATCCAGCCAGGAGGCAGGGAGCCTCCCATCACAACTGCAGCCCCCAAATGACAATAACTTGTTATTCAAATGACCGCCTGCCCCTCTCACGGAGGCCCCAGCAGCCCGGAAGGAAGACAGTGGCCAGACAGGCGGCCCGAGCATAGCTTCACCTCTCAGAGTCTCGATTTCCTCATCTATTGCTTGGGGATGGGACAGTCCCTACCCTGGCAAGGCCATTGAGAGGCCACAGTGTGTCTGCACACAGAAGCCCAACTGTGACCCCCAGACATCTGGAGGCCACACCGGCTGGGCCAGGGTCTGGGCCACGCCTCCGTCAGTTGTTGCTCTGGGCCTCACGGTGGAGGTCTGTAGAAGTGACTATTCTTCCCTCCCTGCAGGCAAGAAAATGTAGGTTCCGAGAGGCCAAACCACCAGCTTAGTGCCCAGTTATTGAGGGGCAGGGTTGGGATCTGAGTCCAGCTCTGTCTGTTCACAAGTCTTCCTCTCTCTGGATTGGCCTTAGAAAGGCTCTAACAGCTGATGTGTACCACACCTTTCCAGATGCCAGGCTGTGGGTGAGGCGCTGCCTCAGTTAATGCCTGCGATGACCCCGCGAGGTGGATCTAGGAGCAGAAAGGTACGTTGAAACTGCCCAGGGCCACGAGGTGAGGGGATTCCTGAGCAGCCAGGCCTCTGGCTTTAGAGCCTGTGCTCTTACCACCTGTGCCTGAGGCACGTGTCATCTCCCCAGGTTCAGTACATCTAATAACCAGAACGGCCAGCCCCCTATCCATCGGAATGGCCCCCGGCTCAACACGGGGAGGGCCTCAACGGGGCATGCCCAACGCAGATGCGGGTCAGCCCAAATGTGACCCCTGCTCTGTAAGCAAGAGCTGGTGAGAGGCGCAGTCAGTCTAACCATAAGCATCCTTCCGTGTGGTGGGTGGAAGCAGGTAGCCACATTTCTGTCTAACTTGCTTTTCAACAGTACACCTTAGTAAGCAGCCCTTAAGGTCCAAATTCAGCTCCCCAGGGACACAGGCACATGCTTGTTCTGGCCTCAAGTCACTGGCCATGTTGTTGGGGCAGGATGGGAAGGCACTTGGGCCAGCGATTACCCAAGAGCACAGTCTGTTCTGCAGAGACAGGCGGGGAGAGGTCCCCTCAAAGGGACAGAGAGATCAGGAGAAGGAGAGAGGTTAGGACGAGAGAGGGAACGAGTGAGCGAGTGAACGAATGCTTCGGGGCCCGCCTAGGCCCATGGATTCCTCCCGGGGTTGGCACATCACACACGGGAAGGCAGGGTTTGAAGAAGGTGGGGGTAGGGGGTGGGACACAGAGGAGCAGGTTGGAAAGGGGAGAAGGTGAGGGGCCTCTGGCACAGACCAAGGAGCCTGGCTCTTTGTCCTCTGGCAAAAGGGAGCATGTGGTAGTTGACACAGTCCATGGGAAAGAAGACTGGTGGCAGGTGGAATCACAGGCGGAGAGAGGGACAGAGAGGCCAGGAAGGGGTGGGCTTGGGCAGGAAGGACCCCTGCACCCAGCCCAGGCACACTGATGGTGGCTCCCACCCAGCTCCAAGGCCATGAACGACCTGTCACAGGCACGCTCCCATGTGTACCCACACACGCACCAATCCCTCAAGGGAAGGTGGCATCACCCACCTCCCATGTTCTCACAGCAAGACAAGGATGCTGGGACACACACTGAGCACAGGGGTGTGGGCCTCACCCCAAGCCCAGGCAGAGGCAGAGCTGAACAGTGAGGGAGCTTGGCCTCCACATTAGTAAACTCTGGCCACCCTGAGTCCAGAAGTCTCAGTTCAGAACCGAGAGAGAATGATTTCCTGTCGTTTTAAGCCACTTGTCTGTGGTAATTTATTATGGCAGCCCCTGGAAATTAAGACATGGCTTGAAACAACACACATTTGTTTTTTTTTTTTTCCATTTTTTGAGACAGTCTCATGCTGTCGCCCAGGCTGGAGTGCAGTGGCGCAATCTTGGTTCACTGCAACCTCTACCTCCCAGGATCAAGTGATTCTCCCACCTCAGCCTCCTGAGTAGCTGGGATTATAGGTGTGCACTACCACGCCTGGCTAATTTTTGTATTTTTAGTAGAGAGGGGGTTTTACTATGTTGGCCAGGCTGGTCTTGAACTCCTGACCTGTGATCCGCCTGCCTCAGCCTCCCAAAGTGCTGGGATTACAGGCGTGAGCCACCGCGCCCATCTAGAGTTTACTTCAAATGACAGAGGCTCGGAACCAGGGGAGCCCTTGTTTATTTACTGTGCCCCCATACCCTGTTCCCCACTCAGGGCTCTCTTTGACCCCTGCAATAGGTGGATCTGGCTAAGGAGGCCACAGGGTACCCCCTCAGGGATGGGACCCCTCTATCATCGAGAGGCTCCTAGGAAGGAGTGGGTTTCCATGGAAACATCTAGTGCAGGGGAGCCAGGTGGCCTATTTTTAGAAGTGGAGCTTTTTTCTCATCTTTGGAGGAAAACAGATCAAGTTTCTCATTGGGGAAACCCTGTTGGGGGCAGCTTTTTGAAACCAAGAACCCGAAAGGCTGCCTAGGCTGGTTATGGATTGGGAAGGAGGTGACCCGGTGGTGGTGTTAGGGCAGAGGCCCTGTGGCCACCCCCCTGTGCACTGCTTGCTTATTTCGGGGAAACTAACTTTGCCCTCACCTGCCCGTGAGCTCCTCCAGGGTTAAGGCAGAGATGTCCAGCAGGGACCCATCCCCTCACATGTCACTGGAGAGGAGAGCAGCCCTGAAGGGTGGAAGGATGGCACTCATTCTGCTCACTGCACCCACACTGGACGAGTTTTGGGGGACGTGCTGCTAAGAGGGGTCCTGGCAGGGGACAGGCTGGTGGGGCCTGGGGGTAGGGAGTGGCAAGAGCAGGGGCCTAGTGGAGGATGATGGGAGCACTCGCAGGGTCCTGGGTGGGGAAGGACATTCAGACAGCCCATGTCCAGCAAGGCTGGAGCAGCACCCACCAGCGCCCTGTATCCTTTCTCCTTCCTGGTTCTTCAGCCCATCCCAGTGCCACATGCGGAGACCCTGCACCCTTGGTGCTGACTTGGGCACTTTCCCACTCCCGTGCCATGCTGCACACATGCATTGTGGGACGTCTTTCTTGCCTCCTCTGCCAGAGCCCCAGTGTGGGTCACTTCAATGGTGCAGTGCCTGGGGCCCTCAGGCTCCCTCCTTTGGGCTCCCCAGCACTGGGCCCCTTCACCAACCTCTGGCTAACTGGAGTCACATTTGGGGTATCCAAATATTTAAAAGAATGTGATGTAATCCTAGCA